TCCGAGAGTTATACAAGAAAAGAGACATATGCCCTCACTTGTCACCTAAATTACATGTCCAACACCAATCAAAGGAAGTTTAAGAATGCCCTTAATTTTTTTTAGGCACTAAAAAAATTTAGGGATCCCTAACCGTAAACTCAATAGCTATAACCTTCAAAATGAACATAAATATCTGCTCAAAGGAATAAATTTTATTACCTAGCAACATATTTAGATCTAACTCTGGTCATTAACTCCATCCGAGTAACATTGTCGCTATTTCTCAAAAGGAAGCAAGAAGGGGGTTGGGCTTGGGCCAGGGGAAGGGAGCAAAAGAAAAACAAATGACACATGTAAACTCAAGAAACCAAGATCTGAAAACTGGAGTTTTGTTGCTCCATAAGTATACACTTAATTCTTAATACTCACAGAAATCTCTTCAACTCCAAGACCTGCATTACCTCTATTTAAAATAAAATTGACCCAGAAGTTTAAAGAAATACTGGGAGGAAAAAGAAAGCAAACAGGAGAGATTGACCACCACTGTCAATGTAAAACATCATATAGCATGTGCGAAAATTATACAGAAGTACCTCTATATTTAGGCAACTCTGATGAAATGTTGAGGGACAACTGTCACAACATATCAGATCTCCACCATCTCCGCAAATGCCACAAGTATCATCATTGGGGTCATCACCATCAATGTCCACAGAATGGAAACCAATCTGCTCAGACTCCTCTTGTCTGTTCCATGCATCTATTTGGCACTGAAGGAGAGAAACACCAGAGTCCAAATATATATTCTGAAATGGTTGGCGCAATTTGCTTCCAGCGTGAATCTCAAATTTTGAGACTGTGAGGATTTTACTACAACAACCACAATGGATACCATCCCTTGTGATCCAGCCCTCTAGCATCACTTTTGTTCGCCTACGGTTCATATACTGCACTTTTTGGCTCAACTGCACTGCTCCGGAATCAATCAGCCAGGAAAGCAGTGTTCTTTTCCCAGAATATGGAACAAAGCCATCACTCTCTGAACTCAGACCCACATTAGAACCACGAACCAACAAAGTACATCTGCCAAGTTTTCTACTTTTTCTTCCATGAACAAGATGAGAATTGGATATAGAGGACGGTCTTTCATAGCTATCATGCACATGGAGAGAGCTTTGACCTTTTGAGTTTGCACTGAAGGCACCATTTTCATTCATCCTACATTTCGATGACTTACCCTGCTTAATGAAGGAACTTAGTTTCTCTTCATGACTCAAGCTATCCATACTCTCATCTTCATGCCTAGTACTTGAAGATTTCCGAGCTACAGCTTCTTGTGCATTCTCACTGTCACTGTCATCTCTTCGCTTCTTTTTCATCTCCCTTTCCATCTTCTTTCGTGTTTTCCTTGTTAACTGGCTGAGTACTTCATCTGATAATGGGGTAAACGCAGAACCATCACCACCAGGTTTGCCCTCATCTTCCTCATCTAGCTGCTTTAGAAGTGCATCGTATGCCTTGATGATAGACCAGTAGGCAGTTCCAGCAGGATTGATGTACACTGCATCCAAGTAGTCCCTGTTCCTCCTTGGTCTATAATCTATTGTCCAGCCTGCATCCTGAAGCATCCCCCTTATTCGTTCACGTAATTTTTGTTTTTCTGTGCCACATCCACGTCTAACTTTTCCTTCTTTGATTCTGGTTGGCAGAAGCTGCTCAGCCTGAGGTTTCTCCTCATTACTACTTACCCTCTTTGTAGAGTTAGAAGCTTCCATATTCTTTGGTTGAAGCTTCAAAGATGCATCACTATCCTCTGAATCCCAGTCAGAGACCTTATTCTTCTTAGTTGATGGAGTCTTTAGCAAATTCGGTTTCGTTTTCTCTTTCCTACTAAGTGAAGCACGCTTCTCAAGAACTTCTGTCTCTGAGTACAAGGATGGACGGACATGCAAGTTCCTCCTAACTGTATCACCAATCCTTGAACCACTCCGGGCTTCCTCAACTTCCAAGTGATCAAAATTTTTCAAAGGCTCACCCACCTTCTTTTTCTTGTTCACCATTACCTTCAAAACACCATTTTTCCCCTGAACCCTAATGGGTTCATCCGAATCAGCCATATACCTCTCCCTCAACAAGGAGAAATGCTGCCGATCACCATCCCTACTTTTCCTGAACCTGTTCCTATCATCATGGTCACCCCTACTCATCCCACCACTCTTATCAAAATACATATTTCTCTTCTTCTCAAGAAAAACATGCCTGCTTGGACCACTCTCATATTCTCTCTCAATACTCCTCCTAACTGCAGCGGGCATTGAACCCAACAGTCTCCGACTTCCAACCTCTTCTCCACCATAATCAAATTGATTTCTCCTCATAATCATCTCCTCATCAAGTCCATCATACTCATTAAAGTCAAACACATCTAACCTATTCCTCTTACTGTCACTCAAATCCTCCCCATTCCTACCAATCAAACCTTCCTCACTCCGCCTTATCCTCTCCTCCCTGTTCCTCTTCCTACCAATTTCACTTTCTTCATAAACAGCTAAACCATTACAAACTTGAATCGTTTCAGGCCCAACCCTCCTTCGTGGTGGCATTACAAGCTCATCGCTAGAGCCCGAATCACTCATAATCATCCTAGGCCTCTTCTTCTCTTTTTTAGACTCGTAAATCTTTCGGGTCCCTATGGACCCGGCCCCACCCGAACCATCCCCTTTCTTTCTCACAATCAAACATCCCGATTGGCTCCTATTTTTCACTACAATCCCCGAATGCTCACCAGATCTCATTCGCTCTTCCATCAAAACCAAACCAAAAACCCTAAATTCCTATTCTTTTCCTCAATTTCATCACAAATTCAAAACAAAACCCATTAAAAACAACATAAGAAACCCTAAATCTCTCTCATCCACCAGATCTGTAGCGAAAAATTCCCAGAACAAAGAAAATGAAGACCAAAACCAATAAAAATTAAAAAAAAAAAACTTTCAGATTTTCAAACGAAATAATAGCTTTGGCAAAGAATGATACCTTGCCGTAGAGAAAACGCGAATCGTTATTAGCGGCAATTCACCGGCGATCGCTGACGCAATTTACCGGCGAAGAACACGAGAAAAGAAAAAGAGAGACACAAATAGAGGGCGTTTGAGAGAGACAGAGAGAGATATACAAACTTCGGTTTTGCATTATAAAATAGAAAAACCAAAGCCGTTTTGAAATTAATTAATTATTAGTACTATTTATTTTCTTTTTCTTTTTTCACGTTGGTTTTTTCTTTTTTCGCTCCATTGATTAATTAATCTCGTCAGCCTTTTTCCCTCCAAATCTCGCGGTTACAAGGATCGGGGTAAGACGATCCGGCATCGTTTCGCTCCTGACACGTCAGATGGGGCACACGATTTCGGCGTTGTTTGCTTACGCGGCAGTCTCTCGTTATCCTTGAAGCCAGTGGTTGTTTTTACCGTTTGACTGAGTTGCTTTTTCATCTATTTTTTAAATTTGCAATCAACGGAAAATCATAGAGAGGATTAACAATGAAACGTGAAGTGCAATCGCGAGGGAGAGCGCGTGAAGCGAGAGCGGGTGGTATGAGACAATAGAATCTTGTTGTGGATTTAGGTGAAGAATGACCGTGATGAAATCAGGGTGTTTTGGTTCGGGAAATTTAATAGCGGTTTTGGTGAAAACTAGATTTGGCTTTTTACCCTTTCTGGGCCTGGGGATTAAAACTTTTATACTCTCTCGGGCCTTTTAAGCTTTTAACCCTCCTGGGTTGACAGCCTAAAACTTACAGTGCCAAACCTTATCCATAATCTATTCGAGGAGCAGTGTCAACCTTGAATTATTTCTCTCATCACTCCCTAATCACAGGTCATTTGTTATTGGCATTCATGGAATCTATCCAATAGTACATTTCTCAAGAGGTAGAGTAAAATTGGGGAGTGTGCGTTGCATTGACCTTAGAGTCAAATCAGATGCCATTATTTTATTCAAATTATAATTCCCTTTTGTATTTTATAGTTTGATTAATGTTGAACCTGAATTTGTTTTACAGTCAAATTTCACTATTTTTCCAAATATTATGCTGTATATAATTGAGGGTTTTGAATGTCTAAAGACAACGATTAAGATACTCTATATAGTAAAACTTTTACATTAAACATCATAATTGATAATTATTGTAGTCAACACTCATTAGCATAATCTTACCATAGAATGAGGTAAAAAAACAAAAGAGAGAAACTAGTAATTACGTACTATGACACTCCATTTTAGGTGAAGACGGCAGCGTGCTGTTAGCACAGTGGGGAGCAGTTTTTGGTATTGTACAAGGACTATTAATGGTATAAAGTCAAAAAGTAAGGCTGAAGAAACAAAATTGTAGTAGAAAAACGCTTACAATCTCCTAGTTATTGCGGCGAGGCTTTATTGTTTTGTTTGTCTCATCAATTTGGGGCATGAACCACGTTTCCGACAACTGTTTACCATTTTTGTTTTAATGAAATTCATGTCTCAAATTGATTAAATAAAATGAAAAAGCACTCGTACTATATAACGCTTCTTTCTTTTTGATGGATAATGCAATGGTAAAGATGTTCGTGGTACCCACGTCGTCGTCGATTGGATTATGCGTTCGCAATGGTACCACAAAAGGCCAAAAAGAAGCTATTAATTAATTTGGGGGGTTTTTTTTTTCTCTTTTGTTTGAAATTATTTTTTAAATATTAAAAACAGAATCTGTTATCTTTATGGAATTTCTAATTCCGTATTAGGAAAAAGCAGAATCTCACCTTCTTCTGGCAAGGAACAAAACCAACATATATTAGGCAAATTGGTGACCTTCCTCTTTTTTTTTTTTTTCCCTTTTTTTAAGAAAACGAGTCGATATATTGGTAAGTGCAAAAACCACAATGCATCAAGCCAGAAGGCATGTGAACTAGTCCAGATGCAAAATTGACCCAAAAAAAAAGACTCCTTGCAGAACAAATCTCCGTAGGAACGGGTATGGTAGGTGCAGAACACAAAATTCAAATGGATACTAAAAATGGAAAGGAACTCAGCATTTCATTTGAAGTTCGGTAGCTAACAAAAAGAAATAGAGGTAAATGACTAGGGGATTGATTGTATTGCTGCAGGAAACTAGCTCATAATCTATGATGATAAGATCTCACTTCTTCTTGGCAGCATCTCCAGCCTTGGTCTGCAGCCACACATAGTAACAGCAGTTAGATGCAGTCATAAATAATAGGAAAAAAAAATGGAAATCGGATAAGAACAGTTGAAAGGAAACAGCCTAGTTACCTTCTTTACACCTCTGATCTTCTTGGCCCTGTTTTTCCTTTCCTTCATCTGCTTTCTAGACTTTTCAACCTTGGTATCTAGTCCATTCTATTTTCAGAAGAAGAAAGAACTTCAGTATCAATGCATTAGCACATGCATTCGCTTGTGTAAGTGCAAGAGGAAAGAGGAAGAAACGAGAGAAGGTTGCAAAAATTGATAACACTCTTTTCTATTATTAAAGTCAAGCTATTATTTTCATTTGTTACGTCCCAGGGAAGCCAAAAGCATGAAATAGAATCCACTGCTCACCAGCTAGTAAACTTCTCCCTCTGACAATAATGAGCATAGCTCTTTATACAAGGTAAAGACTTCTTGATGCAGGTAATACAGCCTGTTTGGATGACTTTTCTAGACTCATTTATACATTATGAGCACCATTTGAAGGACAAACACCAATCTGTGAGATCATAAGTAGCCTTAAGCTGAAACCAAAATAACCATGTTCCAATAACAGAGTTATGTCATCCATCTACAATGCATTCTTGGTTAAACTAGACTTCAGGAACAAAATTACGAAGATGATAAATCCAATTAATCTAGGTTAGCATCAGAAAAGACCAACCTTAACAAAGATTTTCAAGCTTGCCAACCCTATCTCTAGGACTTGACCATTCAACCTAACATCCTATAAACCATCAGCTAGACTAAGGGACATCATCAGCATTCAATTAGAATCACAACATGAACAGTTTGTGGTTCTTCCAAAATGTTCTGACCAAATTGTCCTGCAAACAGATAAATGCCTTGCTTCTTCCGCTTAAGTTCTTGATACCAGCTATGTTATCCCTCACAGAACCAACTAGCTAACCACAACAATGCTGGGAAACCACATACCAATGAACAATTGGGCATTTATTTTACTCAAACTCTCAACAGTCACAATGAAAAAGAACAAGAAATGTAGTAACTATTACTTTACATTTTTATTGATAAGCAAAATATTGCTTTCCCTCTTATGATAGTCCATATTCTAACGCATATTTGAAAGAATGATTCACACTTATGATACCAATTCTTATCATTCCTACAATCAGTAAGAATATAATTTTCTGCAAAGAATAACCTAAACTACGGTAGCCCAACACTAAAAGTTCTAAAGTGAATACAGTTTTTGCAATTGAGTGTAATTAACTCGATCTTTTGAAATCCTAAACTATTTATTTGACAAGATAAAACAACACCAAGTAATTATTGCCTAGATTAATCAAAAGCCACAATAATATAAAGAAATCAAAATGAGCAACAAAAATCCATTCATCTAAAATATCATATTTAATCTGAAGCAGATATCATGACAAGAGTAGTGATTACCCTGATTAGACGGTACTTAGGCTCATACTTCTTTGCATTCTCAACCGAGTCATAAATAAGCCCAAACCCAGTAGACTTTCCTCCTCCAAAGTGAGTACGGAACTTGAAAACAAAAATTGAATTCGGGTCTTTCACTTCATACATCCTAGCCAGTTTCTCCTTAAGCTCAGCCTACATTCCAGTTCAAACCAAAACCAGTTAAAAGAGTAGCCAAAAGAAAGTCACGTTTAAACCTTAAACAAACAAATAAGACATCAAAATACCTTTGAAACATTAGGTCTTCCAGGATGCAAAACATCTATGACCTGCGCCCAGAATTAAAAAAGAAAAAAAGGACAGCAATTTTTCAGTTTTCATCAAAAACCCATTTATTCAAAAGTCTTTCTTTTCCAGTTCTAGCTATAGTTTCTCATAACCAAACACAGAAGTAATCAATGTAAGGGAAAATATAACAAATAAATAAAAGCTAAACTTTTTCATAAGGAAATTAAAAAAGAAAAGTAAACCCACGAATTGTTTCCTCGAAAGGAGCCTGTTGGTCATGAACTTCCTCGTTCTTATGGTAACAGCCTTGTCCGCCATCGCTCTGCAATCACAACCCAAAAAAGAAGCGTAAGTATACGTACTTGTATACGTATTAAATGAAGATTCATTAAAGGGAGGAGCGACTTACTTTGGTTGAGGTTCTTCTCTGAAGTTGCTCTTTTGGTGTGAGGGTGGTGGGGGATTTTAGTGAGGGCGCCGGCGCGGAAGCTGATATGAGACGAATTAGTAGTAACTAGGGTTTTTGGTAAATGAAGGGAAATATTTTCAGTTATGTTTGGTTGCTTGGAGAATTGCGTTCTTGGTGGGCCCAGGATTGTCCAACTCCACGTCATGAAACTTTTATAACCGATCTCACTCTTTTCTTTTCTTTAGGTTAAACCTTTTTCTTATATATTTTTTTATTTTTTGAAAATTATGTATTTTATTGAATTGCTGAGTAGAACCGTGGATCTCTGGCTAAGCCAATACATGCAAAAGCTAAGCAGGACAGTACAAAATGCCGATCCTGCTACACAAAATTGGTGCAACACAAAATTCAAGAACATCAACAACAGCCGGAATATCAGTCCCTGCAAAGACATTAACATGGGCCGCCAAAATTCAAACGCACAAAACCAAGTAAAAGAAAAAAGAGTTAATTATACGTACAAGTTTTAAAATTATAACTTGGGATTAACATAGCATAAGATTTTTCATACATTTAAAACTTTTATTTTAATATATAGATTTGATATATTTTATAAATAATTTACTACTTCTATTACATCGAGGATTCATTTTAAAAAATTGGTCAAACTCATTGTTGTGGCATTCCAAACTACAGTGACCACATGCTATGGCCAATGGGCATAGGAAGTGAACTTGGTTTACTTACCAAAGAATCATCTACTTGCAAGGCCCTGCCAAATGGCAGATATGAACTATTAAAGCTGGTGGTTCTATCCTCTGAAGAAAAACTTCTGGAACTCAAATTGGAGTTTTTGGTGGGGGCAATAAGCGAAAAGGAAACAGCTGGAATCTGTTTTGGGTTCTAATGGCACTTCCTCAATTCCAAACACAAGACTAAAATCCCCTGAGTTGGTGTTGGGTTTTGTGGTTTGGAAAAGTTGTGAAATTATGTAGTTCCTAGGCAGAGAATTACCAGGGAATTCATTGGAATACCTTGAGGAGTAGGGAAATTTAGCCTTCAGCTGTGGATCAAAAAATTATATTCTCTCTCTTTCCAGAATCAAGGTTTTCACCATCTGATCTAATTCATAACCACTTTGGGATGATGATCTAGGAGACATAACACTAAATGGGTTGCTAAAATTTGCAAAAACTCTCAACTCAAGAGGATATCAGAATCTGAAGAACCCTTAGTGTTAAAACCAACAAGGGAACCAGGACTATTGAAAAGTGAGCTGCTAATATGCCTTCAACCCAATGTATCAGACTGAAAATAGGACTCTGAATCAGGATCAGCCATCACATTACCATCCATTGGACTTGCCGATGAACAATGTTTTCTTACACTGCATTATCTATAAACCTCAATCTTCTAGCCAGAAAACCAGCAATTTCTTATATACTTTGCCACAACAAGGAAATATTCTAAAATATTTCAACCAATTTGTTATGGAAAAAACAGAGTTTATTTTAGTTACCTTTCAAAGCTTTTGATCATCCTTAAACTGATGAAAATTGACTTTCAGTTTTGAAAAAAAATTACCAAGAATTTAAAATATGTATTTATAATTTATAATACTTTTTCTTTTCTTTTGCAAAAGAAGGATTTTAAAATATGTATTTATAATTTATTATTGGACCAAATACTTAAACATAAAGATGAGAATTACAAAAGAAGCATGTGAATTGAAATCTGCGCTGAGAAAATTGAAAAAGTGAGTAAAGCGCAAGTAATCCTGATAAAAAGATACCCTTCGTTAACGATGTGATGCCATAATGACTTGTTCCAGGGCAAGCCACTCTGCGTTGCATAGCATTTACATGGAAGTTTCCAAGTTCAAGCAACTTGCCTAATGCTCTTTTGAAGACCAATGGCATGTGAGAAAACGCGGTCTTTTTATGGGATTTATATATCAGCTACCCGAAAGCCCAAAACCCACTGCATTAAGCTTTCTCGCTCGCATAGAAAAAGCTCCATCTTCTTCTATCAGATTTACTAACTCCATCATTCTCACCGCAAAACAGCAATTGATTTTGCTCCATGATGGTTTCAAAGAGTTCTGTAAAACTTTCACTTCTTGCTGTTATTGTAGCCGTATTAATATCCCACAACCTATATGCAGCCTCTGCAGCTTCAGGTGGTCGAATGGGCGGATCTTCTTTCTCTTCAGGGAGTTCACCTTCTTCGCGCCGGCGTGATTATCACCATCATCATTCATCTAGTGTTTATGGGCGCTACGACTCCCATCCTAGATTTTCCATGAACGCCAATCAAGAGAATGGTTCTAAATCGGCTGCTGGTGCTGATGTAATGCTAATCATTTTTATGGGAGCAGTTTCATGCTTGGTCTACCTTAACTTTGTGGAAGGTAGAACAAGTATTCTACAAATTCAGGTAAGGCTCCACTTCCTTGCTTTAGTATAATTTGTTTATCAATAAAATTTGTTCTTTTTTATTGTAAGAGGCTCACAGCTATTCGTTCACATGCTTTCTCTTACTATCTATGGAAATATTTCTAATATTCAATTAGAGTCTACAATAGAGCTTTAGCGACATGAATCGATTGCTTTTCTAACCGTTTAAGGCAGTGGATAGAAATGATCATGAAACCTTGCATCTATCAAAAGTTACCCTCAGTTGATAATCATGTTATGAAGTTCAACTTTCAAGGATAGTATAGGCTAGACTCTCGGTGCTTTCTATAAGAAATTTTCATGCTTATGAATGAGACACCTTTCCACTATACGAGTGAAAAGATGCCAGAAGAATCACAACTGTCCAATTGGGTTGTCCCATGTTAGTTGTTCGGCACAAAACAATGACACGGTCCTGATTTCCCCTGAACCTTTCCCGCTTAGAACTCCAAAGTCCCTCTCTATAGTTCAGCTCTACAAATCCACCAAAGCTCTATTCTTTCTCTAACAAGAAAAATCTTTCACTACAATGGCATTCAAGTTCACAGCAAAACCTTTAAAACTTGTCATCGTTTTCGCTCTGTTCCTCTGCTTCATGTATGTCTCCTATGCTTCTCCCTCTAGTGGTGCCATGGGTGGTAACTATGACAGTGGTGAGGGTTCTGAAAGTGCAATTGTATGTGATGTTGAGCGAATAATTTTGATATTGTTCTGGGTTTCTTTCGGGGTAGTTACGGGTGTTACTCTTCTGCATTGCATTTTCAAGGGGGGAGATACCTTCCTCATGCTTCAGGTATATCGTCAGGTTCTGACTTGGGGTTTGTTTCACCCCTGGATTTTATTTTAGTCTGTGTGGCTCTCTTGATGAATTTCCATTTTGTGTTTGGTACTTGAGAAAGTTCAAAAAGCCAAAAGGCAGGATTTTATTTTATTTTTTTAATATTTTGCTTATTTATGACATGCGACCTTATAGGGAGTACTTGATTTACACTAGTAAAAGTTTCTTCACCGTTTCTTCAGGTTGGCTTATCTGCAAAAGCTCGTTCTTTGCAAAGAGAACTGGCTGAAATTGCCACCACAACTAACACTTCTACAGCAAATGGCTGGCAACTGATATTGGAAGGTAATTTTTGGGATTTTGTACACTTTTGAGTTGTATTAATTCTAGTGTTTCAGTTTTATCTCCTTTACTTCCCCTGCTTCTTCAAACAACGCAAAAACTCTCGTGGCAGCATAATTGATTGTCTGTTCTTTCTTCTCTGCTGCCTATCTTATTACCATTATAATCCAGGGTAGAATACTAAAATGTGCTCAAGAATTAGATGCAATTCACAAACACTTGAAATCCCAACTTCTAGTTGAAGTCAGCTTCATATCAAAGTATCTAATTCTCTTGTTTTGATTCCAGAAACAACATCATCACTGCTTCGCCATCCAGATTACTATCTTTATGGTTATTTGTTTGTAAGTCCATCTTGCATATTGCTGTCTCATTTGATGGTTCCTTTGTATTGTTTTTCATATCCTATCACAATGATTTATTTCACACTTCAATTGAGCATAAAATTTTATGGTATCATTTCCATTTAAGTGCATGTTTCAGTAGTAGATTGTCAGTAGGGTAAATTGCAATATTTGGTTCCTTGTGCACTGGAAAGATGTTCAATTAATGAGCCTCGATAATGTTGTATTGTTGAGTATTATTTTGATGAAACAGTCGCCTTTATTCTACTGAATTACAATATTATTCTGACAATTTTCCTCAAAGGTAACTCGCTGTTGGACCATTGGAGGGGCTGAACAGCACTTTAAACGACTTTCCAAGAAAGAAAGGCAGAAATTTGATGTAGAGTCACTGGTAAATATCAACAATTTTAAAAGGAAAAGAGCTGTTGTTCCAAAAGCTGACAAGGTTAACAAGGACTGCATAGTGGTATGCATTCCATGGTTATTTTCTGCCATTTCATCATGAAAATTTTTAGTAATAAGTTTAACAGACCGCCTCATGGGGACTTCTTTGACCTGAATTCATCTCATCAAGCTTCTTCAATACATATATGATCCACACAGGTAACAGTTCTGGTGGCCGTGCAAGGTGTACACAACCTGCCAACTATCAGGACGACTGACAATGTGAAGGAGGCCTTGCAAGCTTTGGGAGAACTCTGTTCTAGCAAAACTAAGGTAATGATTGAGATTCTTCACTTGCCATTCTAGCTTATTCATTCATCTTTGATGTCTAATATGTACTAATTTCTATCTTTCTTTTAGGGTGTGGAGGTACTCTGGACCCCACAAGATGAGACTGATTCTTTGTCAGTTGAGGAATTGCTTGCAAGTTACCCGCAGTTAAGGAGGATATGATGACTGCTACAGATCTCATCTGTGTAGATGTAGTTTTATACATACAGGTTTTAATCCATAAATACTGCAATGCTTGAAGAACGAACACTCAAGTCTAAATGTCTTCCTTGTAGTGTTCTCCTAAATTAGAATTTACTCCTGAACACTGCCATATATAGGGACTGAAGTATGGGAAATTTACTCATCTAATTAAGTTCTTCCTGCAAATATTTCTTCCAAAAAATGCTGATGCTGATAACTTTTGTTTTCCCTATTATTTGGAGTTTTTTTGACGTTACCAACCAACATAGCCAGCATGACCCTGCCATGGTGTCAAATTTTATGGTGAAAAAACCCAGATTTTTGTCTTCAACATTTATTTTATGATGAACAAAAAGGAAGGGACTGCAAATCCAAGTGTTTCTCCATTAATCAACATCACTAGGATTCCACCTAAAAGCTGGCACAAGTTTTGACAGTGCCATCTACATTGATTACAGACTCAAGAAAGCTCACACCATCAAAATGTGTTTGCAAGAACAATGGATACAAACCAGAGACTTATGCAAGAAGTGTCAACAATGGTGAGTTGTCCTCTCAAATATTTTTGATATGTTCAATAGGCTTAATTGTCAATGACAAATCAAAAGCTGATAATTAACTTGAGATTACAAAACCATTTGAACAACTCAGATGCTAAGGTTTTCATAATATGAAAAAGCAGGAAAAAAAACATGAAAACCTGCTGGCAATACCAATCTGAGTTACGAAATAGAGCAATTTTGCAGCAGGGATAGGCAAGCAATTGTTGTTAATGATGGGATGCCATGATGATGTTGGCCAGGTGTTTTTTACGATCGTTCCTAGCAGGTTTGCCTGGCAAACAGGCAAGTTCCAAGAAAATGAAGGGGAAGTAGCAGCCCTGTAGGGAATGGCTATGCCCTTTTAAAAAACCAAATCGCATGTGAAAAACCCACGGCCTTAAGTTTATTCTCTAACAGAAAAGGTTCCATCTTCTTGCCTCACATTCTCTGAATCCAATTTTTGCTCTTATTGTAGCCTTAATAGTTCGTGCCATAGGCATCATCATCACCATCATCATTCAAATAGAGTTTTATGGCTACAATTCTCGGCCAAGTTTTTACAAAGAATGCGATGAAGACCCTGGAACTAGTATTTGCACCATTTCTACATGTAAAGCAAAATATGAGCAGGATATCCATCTAACCACAGTATCCCAGCTTACAACCCTTGAAATATTGCATTGTTTTTTTTTTTTTAAACTTTTCTACATTTGAATGGATCAGGTTTGTTTCAAAATATTGCAAACATATAAGGAGAAAATAGCATGAAGATTGATTGTACTTGTACTACAACAATATAAATTTAAAAATTGGTTGTTGCCTCTTGACTAAGGTTTGGACCCAGAACTTTCTTTCACCTTTAGGAAAAAATGGGTTTGCTGTCATTATCTCGATGATCTCACCCTTCCATTATTCAAAGCTCGCTCTTAGTGGATGTGATTTTCCAAGAAAATGTAGAGAAGCTACCTAGGAAATGCACACTTGAACAACCCACAAGTCCAGGTACTATCACTATAATAGTGAAAGCAACTCTCCATTTTGCATCACATTCTTTCAGATCCATCCCTAAGTCTTGGCTCAAAATAGCATACTAGTCCCTTGCAGTCCACCTTATGGCTTTAATCAATATCATTCTAGCTTCGAAACGGCGACATCGAAGGGGTAGTTCTGGATCTTCCTTCTCAGCTACCAGGTCGATATGGTCATCACCATCACCATCACCATCATCAGCATCGTCACAGCACTCAAATTATTCTGATGAATGGCCTGTTGTTTGTCAAATAATGATCTTGGTAGCAGTTGCTTCATATTCTTACTTGCTATACCTTTCAATTTTTGGGTAAACTTTGTTCCTACAAATTATGGTCCTGGTTAAAAATCTCCAAATTCTGTATAGATTTCCCCCTTTCTCTTAGGCTTTAGAGGTGCTGTTGACTAGACGCAATACTTCAATGCTTGATGTGGGAACATTGGCTACTATGTATGGAGCAGGCAGCTTCCTTTGTATATAGTTTGTATTTTTACCTTAACTTTAATAAATTTATGGATCAGTCTTCTTCCTGTAAATGAATTTCTTTACAGCTATTCTTAGCTGGTAATATCATTCTTTAGTCTACCATTAAACCTAACTACTATCAAGAGTTAACAATCACTTTTCGCTAAGTTTCATGGAAATTTTCTTTATATTTTTATTTCGATTTGAAAAAAGAGATATTCCCATTCAACTTGTTGAATTTGGAAATATGGGTACTTATTATTAAATTAAAAGTTTGGATGTCATTTACACCTTTTCATATAAAGAAAAAAAACCTCTTTCTGAGTCATAATTTACCAAATAATTTAAATAAGGTTTTTTTCAAACAATTCTATATTTTTACATTTACGACATCATAATGCTCTCTTAAAAATTAAACACTAGTTATTTATATTTTTTTTATTTGGTATCTTTGCCACTCTTAACTCCAATAAATAAGCGAAGAGTGAAAACAGAATATTATGGAAACTTTTTTCAATTATTACAATTTTTTCCTACCTTTACAATTACATGGTATTTGATTTGAAACTTGAGAGGTAATCGATATATATGTGTGTGTGTTTAGATTTATAGCTAAATTGACTGTTCTACTGCACCAAGTACCCTTTAGTTACACATACACTTGATCATTCTTCAAAGTCTAATGTTTATGTTTTCTTAATGATTTTCCCATCCCTAGTTTTCTGTCTGTCTTACGGCAGGCTGCATATTCTGCCAAAGCAAGCTTGGTTCAAAGAGAACTGATCACAACTGCCAAAGCTACAAACACTTGTACCATAGCAATTTGTTGGAAACTCTTGGCCAGTCAAAACCCATTCTTTTATACTTTTCTGTAGCGGCAAGAAGAAACTTTTCATTTGTACCCGTTTCTTCTGTTTAATTATTTGTTTGTCTTCTTTTATCTTAACAAATAGCAACCTGATTATCATTGCTGCGCCATTCAGCTTACTACCGTTCTGGCATTCATCTGCAAATCATGCTCAATATCCTTAATTTGATGCTCTCCAACGTCGAGTCAATGGTAAATGTCGAAAATGTTCAAATAAAAAGACCATACCTTCCCAATGCTGATAAAATTTGAAGCCAAGGATAACAAAGTGGTGTGCTTCATATTTTGTTTCTTCTGTTTCATGATGATAGTATTGCAGTATTATTTCTTCCCTGAAAGAAGTAAACTAGCTCGATGGCATGAATGAGTATTGATTTGATTGTGCTTCTCTCTGATTGCTTTCTTTGAACTCTGTTCTCATATTCTCACTATAACCCCCATTAACTACTTTTTCATGAAGGCATTGAATTCTGTGACATCAGTTCCAGCAAAACTATGGTAAGGAAATTAAGGACTGAACATTTTCACGTAGATATTCTGGCTTATCAAGCTTTCATATAGGGTGCGGAGGTGTTCTGGGCTCCACAAGATGAGAGTGATTCTTTATCAAAAGAGGAATCGGTTGAAAATTACACATATTTAAGGCGAATGTGATGTGATGACAGGAGCCAGCAGCTACAACCCTATATAACTCTCTCATTTGCATCAAAGATTGTCTGTTAGAAACCAGGTTGGATTAGTTTGGTGAAAGTGTGCCAGGGTCGAGATTCCAAACCAACAGGGGACCTTAAAATTGGTGAATAGCCCTGTTATTTTATGAAGTAAACTCTTATGAAGAAGCGGGCTGGATTTTATGATTTGAATTCAGGCAGTCCACTTCAAGCCCGGTCTTTCGAAAAGAAGTCATCCATGAACATCGGCCGAAGCATATCTTTCTTGCTCTCTTGGCCATTGAAGACGTTCCGTTTGGTTTGGGGCATTATGACTTGGGCTTTGCCCAACTATGAAACATATTTGACTTTGTTCTCAGAACTCAGAACCCCAAAGTTTTTGCCTTTTGTTGAGCCGAAGTACAGAGGTCACAATAACCCCAGGGTGAACGTCTTTATTTGGGGCTTCAATCAATGGGAATTTGCACGCTTCAAACAGGATATTTCCGCAAAGACTTGCAATTTTCTTCGTCAAGAAAACAATAAAAGTTTAATCTTTCTAATAAATAACGTGTCCTTTGAGTTGTCAGTGCCTTTATGGCATTAACTGAATTGATATTTGAAAGATTCATATCTTCCAACGAAACAGAGTAACACAGCAGAGTATTACACTCCAAATTTGATGCAGAAAAAGCACCCTCAAAAGTCGTCGGCGGTGGCACATGTGACAAAGTGGAGGCTGTGAATGATGAAGACAGAAGCAAGGCAACATTCAATGCAAGGCTTAAAAGTAATGATTATGTAATCCCATATATATGTACGAAAGATTTCACTTTTTCCCTGCTTTTATTGCTCTAAAATTCAACAACGGAAAGTTTGTTGTAAGAGCGAGACGCTTTTAAAAGGGCAGTCATAAAGGAATCTGTATACGTGTGAGATTATGAAGCACTTTTCTATGACCTAACTTTTTCTACTTTTCTTGGTCTCCTGAGCAGCTGGGATACAAAGCATTAAGTTCCTGAAAGTTACAGTTTACTGTCACCAGTTGCAACTCTAAACTAACTTTGCTATATACCAAAATGTTTAATTTACAATGTTTTCGAGCTAAATTTGAATATTTCATTGTTCCAGGATCCTAAATTATAATGTACATTTCAGACACAATCATCTCAAAGCTGCAGTTCAAGTTGCGGTATGTCCTCAGCTTATGTGAGCATGCAAATAGTTGCACCCCAGGCCGGAAAACTTGTGGCTTGTGGCTGTATCTAGTGTGCGTTAGCCTCATACCATTTAAATATCTAACCAAGTTGGCAAGTGGTGCACGCAGATTACCACATGGCGCTGCAGTTAGGTTTGGTGACATATACTTGCTGAACCACTAAAAACCATCAAACTTCTTGGGACCATCCTACCTTTTGTTGTCATAAAAAATGACCCACAGTTGTGCAATGGTTTACTTTAGAAAAAGAGAAAAATACAAAAAAAGCTGGGAACTGTGGGATGGTAATGGACTTCATAGATGATCTGTCATCTGTATGCAAGGCATTAGGAGCTATGAGACCCTAAAACTTTATTTGGACAGGCTGGGAGTTGAAAACTCTGTGGAGGGAATGTGGATATAGATCCTAGCTACAGCAGACATAATTTAATGTTAAATGTACATTGGCATGGGCGGTTGGAAAAATGCCCTTCTCAGCATCATTCTTTAAAGACATGACAGATCCTAAGCAGTTGCAATCCTCTGTCTCTCTCTCTCTCTCACACACAGACGATACATCAATGAGGATAAGAGGATACACCTTCTGCTTGGTTTAGATAAATTTTGGTGAGACCTTTCATACTTTAATGTAAGTGGGGTAATGTACAATGGCTTGATTTTCATTCACTCAAGTGATCCGTCTTGGACACCTTACAAGCTGTGAGAAGTTAGAACTCCCTCTGAATAACAAATATCGTTAGCCTTCACTTTTACTCATAGAGTGAGTCAGCCTGTAAATGGATTGAGGGCATGGTGTTTGAATCTGGTGAACATAATTAGAGAATTTCGCAACCTCACACATCTACAGCATCAACTGGAAGGGAAGATGCCCTGTAAAGAGGGTGTGGAAGCAAGGTTCCTGTGTAGAAATTCTTGGTAGGGGCTATTGTCTCAGGGTTATAAGAACCACAAATTGCCTCAGAATTTTGGTCTCCCTGGCTTGCAAAACTGGCACATTTTTTCTCAGCATCAGTAGGAAAATATAAAGTAAGATGCTTCCCTGAGGGTAATGATTTCAGGAGAGGTCCGTTGCTTTCTCTCTTAGGAGATGCCAAAATTGAAGATATTGAAGCTTTGTTATCTTTGTCGTTCGCCAAGTCATTAAAACTTTGAGTCAAGCTTTGTGATCTCAGTTTGACTCCTAATTGTTGGTCTCTAAGCTCCCTCAACTGCATTTGATACTTTGCTTTTAGCCATCTTAGTTCTTGTCTAATCTCATTCTCATAATCATCCAAGAAACCAGAATCCACTGAATGGTAGGCAGAGAAAGAGTTCCTAGCATTGGAATCACTTTGACTATCTATACTTATAATTCTCTCCTCCTTTCCATATATTGACTGGTCTGAAGTCTCATTTGCCTCATTGCAGTGGATATCCTTTGGACCTGGTGAACTTATTTCTGGTCCTTCTCGCTGAGCCCAAATGTCAGCATAGTGGATGCCATTTGATCGGTGTAATGAAGCATTTACACCTTCTGAAACACATTGCTCTGGCCCTTCAACTTGGTATGTGATCTCTTCAAAACGGCCATGGACAGTAGTGCATCCGTGTTTTGAGCACTGAAGAACTTGCAGGTTCTTGGCACCTGCGCTACTTGATGATACATAATCTGAGATATAGCCATTTGAAGCACAATTTTGACAAAAACTTGAACTCAAGCATTGTGAATTTTCATCCATGCCTGATCCCCTCTTCCACTCTGGTACTAAGGAAGCAATTTCACCATCAATCATATCTGCTATTTTAGTGACATCTTGGTCAGTAATATCAAGCTCAGAAACCATTTCCGTTGCAACACTTAATGCTGTATCAGACTCAATGTCAAATGGGAAGTAGATGTTTCGAAAGCAACCTGCAATAAGAATTAAATTTTGTAACACTAATGCAGAACAGAAGCAAAAGAATATAACTAAACCTGGACTTGAAAAAGCACCAAAGAATCGAAATTTATAACTCCGTAATCCAACAGAAATCTAGAGAATTATTCTCTATTTCAGTTAATCATGATAAAGATAGAATATTTAGAAAACCAAACAGGAATATTGGAAGGAGATAGTTCAGAACTCTTAACCTTCTTTATCTGCAATTCTGAGTCTCAAAAAGATGCCATTATCTTCTCTCCTCTTGCCTTTGATTGTAAGGTCAACATCTCCCAACTGTCCATCTTCTTGACTAATGAAGAGATCAATATCACTTGTTTCAAATTCAAGTGAATTGTAACCCAAACCATTCTCAGGTCCATAACCAAGATAGTTGGTGTAGCCGTTGAATAAAGAACTGTTGTTACTATGGTTA